AAGGCACTATGAGGTGATCATCAGCTAAGTTGAGCTAAAATTGCATGAAGTTGATCTTGTTTTGGGTGGTCTTCCTTGAGGTTGAGCAATGTTCAGGGAAAGTTCACTGAAATTTAGGCAAGAAGGGCTTGACAACCAATGCAACTTCAAGCAACTTCCATCAAGTTCTGTACTGCAGTGTTTACATCTGGGCAAGCCTTGGTGGTGTTTTTGTGATGGGACTGGATCTTGACTGAAGGTGAGGGAAGTTCATCAACCTTTCAGGAAGATGAGCAGATCTTGTGCTGCAAGTCCAAGTGACTGCCTTTTGTTCCCCATCTTCACTCTGAAGTTGCAGCAAGTTGAAGTGCAAGCTTGTTGAAGTGTGCATGTGCTGGTTAGGGTTAGGGTTAGGGTTACATACGGGTTCCCAAAGGGATTGAAAAACAACATGGGCTCAGAAGAAGCAGAAAGATGCCCTGATACTGCCGGTGAAGTTTCAGATGCTACCCTGGGGGTTGTGGTGGAGATATGGGCCAAAGAGTGAAAAATCTCTAGAATTTCCAGGGGTAGCCCCTAAAATCTGCAGGGGCTGCACGTCATCTCTGGATTTTTTCTAGAGATTGCCCCTAGAATTCCGCAGGGACACAGCCCTACCTCTGGTCACGGACGCCCCTTCCAGCGCAAGGGGCAGTCCCTATGGCACTTAGAAGAGGCCCTAGATCCCCCCAGGGACGACTTTTTATCCCTTGCTCATGCAGGGTCATGCAGGGTTCCAGTCCCTACCCCTAAGCTCCTTTTGGTGGTGTGATTTGCGCACGCGCCCCTACCCCTGGCCATGGAGTAGTCATGTGACCAGCGCTTGTACCCCTGCCCCTACTCAAGGAGGTCATGTGATCAGTGCCTGCGCCCCTGCCCCTGGCCATGGAGATGTCATGTGACCAGTGCTTGTACCCCTGCCCCTACTCAAGGAGCTGTCATGTGATCAGCGCCTGCGCCCCTGCCCCTGAGGGTGAAGATGTCATGTGACTGGCGCTTGTACCCCTACCCCTGGCAGTGAAGTAGTCATGTGATCAGCACTTGTACCCCTACCCCTGAGGGTGGAGATCATGTGACTGGCGCCCTGGCCTTTACCCCTATACATATGCCCCGAGACTTTTTGTAACGACGCGTCTTCCGGATGAAAACGTACGCCGGCGCAAGTAGGGTCCTTGTGCTATTGAGCAGAGGGCTAGCTGTTGTTAGACGGCGGAACTCAACGGCGGCAGGCTGTGGAGAAGGAGGAAGTGAGTGGAAGACAGCTGGGTGATCAGGCCAGTGTCAGGCGGCGGTCAGGTGAGGAGGTCAGTCGAGGAAGAGGGCAGGAAGATTGGGTGAGGAAAGGTTGTATTGCAAAGTGGGAGAGGCCTTGGGGGGCCTCTATATATACCTTACATGTCTGTCTGAGAGACAGAGAGTGTTGTGTAACAGAATGAGTGAGAAGCAGATGTGGAATGTGTCTGAAGCAGAGTCGCTGCAAGGTGGAGCAGAGTCGCTGCACCGGCGCAGCGTCTCTGAGTCAGAGTCAGAGTTTGGCGCGCGTGAGTCTTTGGTGGCTGCATGAACAATGAGCGAGAGTCATTGCCATGCATAAGGTGTGTGTGAGGCGCAGAGAAGGGATGAGGGAGAGACAGAAGTGTCTGTCTGAGTGGCTTAATGGTGTGTGGTGCGCAGAGGTGAATGTATGTGAGGCATTGGATGTCTGGGAGACATACAAGAGTGCGTCGCAGAGCATAAGGCATGGATTGTGAACGGAACAGGAAGGGAGTCGCTTTTTTACACTTTTGGGGCGCAAAAGCGGATGCGCAGCCAAATCCCCCGCCAAAAAACGCGCCTGGAGGTCCTATATATATGCCCCAAGACTTTTACGGCGCAGTTTTAGGGTTAGGGTTAGGGTTACATACGGGTTCCCGGGAGGGGCAGAAAATAAGATTGGCCCAATGGATGCAGAAGGATGCCCTGATACTCCTGTCAAAGTTTGAGGCTCACCCCTGGGGGTATTGACAGAGATACAGCCCTACCCCTGTAAAAATATGCCCCTTCCCCTGCAAGTTGCTGCCCCTGAATGACATAGGGTTTCCCCTTTTGCCCATAGGGGCTCCCCTAAATTTGCGGAAGGGGCCAAAATCAGCCCCTACTTGCTCTAGGGGCTGGCCCCTCAAAAGCGCAGGGGCAAGCATACTCTACCCCTATCCCTGGAAGTGGTGAGTGTGCATCTTGGCCTACCCCTGACCCTGGACATGGCCATGTCATGCGACCTTCCCCTGACCCCGGCCAAGCATATGTCAGGTGACCTTCCCCTGACCCTGGACAAGCATATGTCAGGTGACTCCCCCCCTCCCCCCATCAGCAGCCATGTCATATGACTCCCCCCTTTTCCTGTACATGTGCATGTGACTTGCCCCTTACTCACATCTGACCACAATGTAGGGGGAATGAGATGGATTATTTACAGTGTAGTGGGTGGAGGGAAAAGAGGGTGGGGGATATTGCCACAACTATTTACATGTCAGAGTCTATATACAGCAGTGTTTGCGCACAGCAAGCTGCAGGGAAGGCTATCTCAAAGTGCTTGGTGTCTTGACTGTAGACAACACCAGCAAAAGGGCCAGGTGAGTCTCCTGGGAATGCAACAGCCTTCCACTTGTGATCATGGAGTAGGGTTAGGGTTAGGGTTACAAGGGGGTCCCACGAAAGTCTGTTTTGAGTTAGAGCAACTTTCTTGTAGAGACCAAAGAGCACTTCAAAATAATGCCAGTGACACCCATCAGAGTTGCTTGGTTGTTGAGAAAATCACCAAAAACCATGCAAAACCCCAACATTTGGCTGGTGAGGTCAATGAGCACAAGGAAAAATTGCAGGCCTAAAGCAGCAGCCCCTAGAGGAGTACAATAAAGTCTGCCATGCAAAGTTTGGGCGTAATTGGAGCAATATTGACTGAGATATGAGCAACTGAAGTTGGTCTTGGCGCAAGAGCTCAGGCCACGTGACCAAATGCACGTGACCTTGTGCGCGCGCCCTCAGGCATGCATATGCACGTGACTGATGCGCGCTCTGACGCGTCCATAATGCGCACAGGGCAGCCGATAGAGTCAACATCAACAATGTCCCTGGGTGGGACATCAATAGTGTGATCAGACTGGTGTACCAGGGCCTTTGGTGTGCGCATTGGGGTGATGGTCAGGGCCAGGCAGTGATGTGTCAAGTACATTTTACATGAGACTGTGAAAAGATCACCAATTCATGCTCTACAGTGCGCACATTGAGTGCAAGACTTGCTGTTACAGTGATCCCTGACATGTCAGTGGTGGCCTGTGGGCATTGCAGAGTGGCATTCTAGCAGGTGAGTACGTCCCTAGCCCACTCCTAGATGCGGTGAAGAAGCTCCTGTGCCGCACAGCAATGCTATGCGCGCACAATGACTGTAGTGTCAGTTACCCTTGACATGTCAGTGGTGACTGTACTACTGGTAGATGTCGCTCTCTTTGCGCTTTGGGTGACCCCTGACATGTCAGTGGTGGCCTGTGGAAACTGCAGAGCGGTGGCCTAGCAGCGCAAACATGTACGCCTGCAAGATTCCGTATGCAGCGGATAAATTTGCGCCCTTGCAGAGCCTCTGGTATGCGCACAGCCTGCTGCCACAGTGACCCTTGACATGTCAGTGGTCACTCCAGTGCTGGTAGAATGTGCTTGCTGTGCGCCATCAGTGACCCCTGACATGTCAGTGGGGTGCAATAAACTTGCTTGAATGTGCGCAAACAGGGAGGATGCGCATGTTTTTGCAATAAACCAGGGGTGCCAAGCGTGCGCAAGCTCTGCGCCTCCTCACCATCATCCGCACACAATCTCCAGCTTCTTTTGCACTCATACCATTGCCAATCACCATGAAGTCAGCACATATTCAGCCCACTGATTTGGATGGCTACAACATGACCATGCTACCAGAGAGTCTCTTGGGCCCATTTGGCGCAGACACTCTGGTCACCTTGTCGAGCTATGCTCCCAAAATCCGGGATGACCCAGAGTACACTGACTGGGTGTATGTGGCAACTGCGGTGCAATACTTCAAGATTGAACCAGAGTTCAAAGCACCACTCTTTGACTACCTGGAGGGTTATGTTGCTGTGGCCAAGACAGACTGGAGCACCTCGCTCATTCAGGGCAAGCAAAGCATCCACTTGAGCCGCCTTGTGGAAGGCCTGGTGCGGGTAGGCTGTGAAGCTGTGCGTGTGCAAGGGTATGGTATGAAGAGCAGGCTTGCACTGGTTGAGACCAACCTCTTTGGTGATGCCTCTCATGACCTTGCTCACCACAATACATGGGATCTTGGCATCATGTGCGCCAAGGGCAGTCACATACCGCTTTTCAAGATGCTTTGCACGCAAACAAAGGGTGTCAAGCAGTTTCCAATGCTCGGAAAACTGGGTCAAGGTCATGGCTCCCTGAACATTTCCTTTGCTTATCATGGACAGGAGTACATGGTGAAGCTATATCCAAGACTTGTGCACCATCTCAAAGCGCTTGCAGTGCAGCAGTTTAGGTGGCCTAGCAAGATTTTGCGAAGAGGCAAGGCAAATCTGGGGACATTGAAGCGAAGACACACTCAGCTTCAGAGACTGGTGCGCAATGATCAGCAAGCTCTTGGAGGGTATCGCATCGAAGTCACTGTCAAGGCTCCAACATTGAACTCAGCAATTCGTCAACTTGGCAAGACTCCTCTGTTGAACATCCAAGAATGGATCAAGCCCCTAGATGACGAGTTTGATGACCATCAAGTTGGCTTTATTTTGATCTCGTCCAGTGCAATGCTCAGGCAGTGGACCATGCTTGAGGAGCAAGCGCATCAACTTGGCCTCTTCTTGGGTCGCAATGAGAGGAACATGACTCCTGTGGAGCAGAAAGTGCTTATTGATCTCCAAAATGCGCTTGGATGGAATGCAGGATACAGAAAGCTGACCCACTATCAAGACACTGCTGCTTGGTGGGATGCACCGCAAAACCAAGTCGTGCAATCTGCTGTGGAGCAGCCTACCATTGAGGGTACACAGAATCAGCCATCTGCTGCGCGCACATTTGCTGCTCTCCAGGGTCTGTCAGATGTGCTCCTGCTGCGAGAACTATTCAGTATTCTTCAGCCTAAGATGGGTTAGGGTTAGGGTTAGGGTTAGGGTTAGGGTTAGGGTTAGGGTTAGGGTTAGGGTTAGGGTTA